AGCCTGTGGTTTCTGAAATGCACGTGTGCGGTGTGGTTGTGTGTGCATGCAGTTTGGCTAAGGCTGACCTGACTGGGAAGCCAATTAGAACTGCACTGCACTCACAACTTGCTTAGTTTTGTGAGAGTGTAAAGCGATTCAGGAATTGTGCCGGTCAATTTGTTGAACTGCAGGAATCTGTGGGAGTAAAAATGGAAAGCATGAATACTGCAAGCTCAAAGACCATACTCCATGCATGTGTAGGTGGTGGTGTGCATAGCTGTGGGTTTATGGTACGAGAATATGTTGATGGACAATCACTCACAAACACATGGCTGGAATGACATTGCAAAGGTTATGAATACGGAGTGAAACATAAGCGTTTGGAAAGAAAACGTACGTAAGAACAAGTCAAGCAACTAAAACAAGAAATCAGTCTAATTGACGCTCAAGCATCTCACAAGAAGTCAAGAATCTCACAAGTCAAGCAGCTCACAAGTAGTCGAGCATCTTATAAAAAGTCAAGCATCTCACAACAAGTCAAGCATCTCACAACAAGTCAAGCATCTCGCAACAAGTCAAGCATCTCGCAACAAGTCAAGCATCTCACAACATGTCAAGTATCTCACAACAACTCAAGTATCTCACCACAAGTCAAGTATCTCACAACAAATCAAGCATCTCACAACAAGTCAAGCATCTCACAACAAGTCAAGCATCTCACAACAAGTCAAGCATCTCACAACAATTCAAGCATCTCACAACAAGTCAAGCATCTCACAACAAGTCAAGTTAGAGATGAGCATTTGCCCCGCGCAGGTCGGGACGGCCCGACCCGACCCGTGGTTTAGCCCGGGTCGGGTCAGTGGATTCATTTGCCTGCCCCGTGCGGGCCGACCCGACCCGATCCGGGCTAAAACTCGACCCGAGCACGGAACTCGGGCCGAGTCGGGTCGGGTTTTGGGTCAGGCTTGATCCGACCCGAATTCGGGTCAGGACCAAGGAAGTCGGGTCTGCAGTGTACGAAACCCTAAGTAGGGATGAGCAAATGGCGAACACGAACATGTTCGTGTTCGCCTGGGCTCGAACATGGCTGTTCGGCGAACCGAACACTGTTCGGTTCGCCGAACACTTTACACCAGAAAGGGTGTTCGAAGTTCGCCAAGAGAGGCGAACATTTCGTACGTTTTGGCGAACACGAACACGTTCGCCCAGAACATGTTCGCGTTCGCCTTAAAGGACCTTCTCAGATCCAAGTAGAGTGAAATCCAAATGTTTCACATTCCCTCCCCCCACCCCGCAAGCCAGTCCCGCCCTGCTAGAACCGCCCATGCTAGATCTACGCTTAAGAAACGTCGAAATGCTAGATCTACGCTTAAGCAACGGCGAAATGCTAGATCTGAGCTTAAGCAACGGCGAAATGCTAGATCTGAGCTTAAGCAACGGCGAAATGCTTGATCCGCACTTAAGCAACAGCGAAATGCTAGATCTACGCTTAAGCAACGGCGAAATGCTAGATCTACGCTTAAGCAACGGCGAAATGCTAGATCTACGCTTAAGCAACGGCGAAATGCTAGATCTGAGCTTAAGCAACGGCGAAATGCCTTGATCCGCACTTAAGCAACGGCAAAAGGCCTTGATCCGCACTTAAGCAACGGCAAAAGGCCTTGATCTGAGCCCAAACACCAAGGCCCGCGCCCTAAAAATTGGTCGCGGGCCTATTCGTCGACGAACACATTGGCGTTCGTCGAAGGCCCGTGTCGATCACGAACACGTTCGTGTTCGTCGCGCCTCGGTCAGCTGAGCCGGGCGAACGGCGAACGTGTTCGGGCGAACACCGAACACGTTCGCCCCGAACAATTTTGGCCAAAAAAAAATATTGTTCGGTTCGCCTCGAACACGTTCGAGGCGAACCGAACAGGTGTTCGTCATATTGCTCATCCCTTACCCTAAGCAAATTCGATGTCGAGGGGATTTTTTACCCTCGACATCAGAACCTTCCCACACGCCTTGGCGCCAGAGTTCAGCCACTAATGTCACCTAAGCTAAGCAATTAGTTTGTTTCCAGCCTAGGAAAGCATGTTATCCGACATATCTTGCTACTACGAAGGCGTTAATCTGCAGTTTTAGGAAATCGCGCTGTTGGGTTAGCGTATGTCACGATTTCGCGTTGTACTAGCGTGGTTTCATCTTAGAGGCTGCACGCCCTCTCTTAGAACAAAATCACTCACGTTCCACTACAGACCCTAAACACCACTGCCCTCTATAAAGGGGCGGGTCAGACTTGACACTCAAGTATCTCGCAACAAGTCAAGCATCTCACAACAAGTCAAGCATCTCACAAGTAGTCAAGCATGTCACAAAAAGTCAAGCATCTCACAACAAGTCAAGCATCTCGCAACAAGTCAAGCATCTCACAACAATTCAAGGTTCTCACAAGGAGTCAAGTATCTCACAAGTAGTCAAGCATGTCACAACAAGTCAAGCATCCCACAAGTCAAGCATCTTGCAACAAGTCAAGCATCCCATAACAAGTCAAGCATCTCACAACAAGTCAAGCATCTCACAACAAGTCAAGCATCTCGCAACAAGTCAAGCATCTCACAACAAGTCATGCATCTCACAAGTAGTCAAGCATGTCACAACAAGTCAAGCATCTCGCAACAAGTCAAGCATCTCGCAACAAGTCAAGCATCTCACAACAAGTCAAGCATCTCACAACAAGTCAAGCTTCTCACAACAAGTCAAGCATCTCACAACAGATCAAGCAACTCACAGATCTCCAAGGTCTGAAAGGTTGGCTAGTGAGGAGGGTATCGTGCCGTTCAGATCGTTCTCATGTAGGAATCTGCTTTTCATGGGAGTGTGGATGCAAAGAGCAGAGTAGAAACCAAAGCCAACATTATGATAGGCCGTATTGCAAGCATATGAATAGGCATATAGTTGTTTGCTAACTCAGGGTAGGGATGAGCAAAGGGCGAACTCGAACACGTTTGGGTTCGAGTTCGCTCGAACATCAACATTTCCCGAACCGAATACGGTTCGGTTCGGCGAACAATTTAGGGTTCAGGAGGTGTTCGCCGTTCGCCCATGGGGGCGAACATTTGGTATGTGTGGGCGAACTCGAACATGTTCGAACCGAACATGTTCGAGTTCGCCCGTGGGCACTTTCGTTATAGTCACATTGGTCAAACAGGGAATCTGGAGGGTTGGGAAGATAGATAGGGGGGTGGAGGGTGTATATGTGTTCATGCAACGCACACTAGCATACGACACCATCATGTTTTGCCTATATAAAAGTCACTGTCAAATTAAATCCTACGCCTGCACACCACTGCTACTACCAACAACAGCATGCTCCGCGTCAGAGGTGTCGCCAGCACCCACCCCCTCCTGCTCCTCCTCCCCCTCCCCCTCCTCCCACTCGTCGTCCTCCTCCTCCCCCTCGCCTTCAATGGCGAACTCTGGTGGTGCCTCGCCTTTTGCACGGCGGCCCTCGCCTATCCTCTGTCCAGGGTGTGAGGTGTACCATGATCTGAGAATCATGGAAGCTCGCGTCCTCTGAGAGGCTAGGCGGTGCCGCTTCCAGGATATGAGGTTGCGGCCGAGGGAGAACACGCGCTCGCTCGACGCGGACGTGGCAGGGATGGCAAGATAATCCCGGGCCATGCGCCTCAGCGTCTGCATGTTGGTGGCGCTGCGCCAATACTCCAACGCTGACACGTCGCACCGCACCCTCTCAGATAAGTACCTGCCAACCTCGTCATCCTGCACCATCCCACCCCTCCCCGCCTCTTGGCTCGCCGAAAGACGCGCCGCAGGGCGTCGGCGACTAGGGAGAAACTCGGCGTCTTCGTCGTCATCCGCCGCGTCTCCCTCCTCCTCCTCCGTCACTGGGGCAAGTGGGGTCGGCCGAGGGGCAATTGCTGCAGCCCGGGCCTGGTACTCGGCCACGCGTTCGCGGACCAGCTGGATCACCTCGCCTGACGAGGGACGAGGCCTCGCCCTCCGGTCGGTATCAGGATGCAGCGTCTCCCAGTGCGCGTCGTCGAACCACGCCGCCTTCATGGAAGGGTCCAGGAAGGTGGCGATCCACAACTCGTTGCTTGACATCAGTTCATACTTCTTCAAGAGACCCAGCGCCCCCTCAATCATCGGCTTCAGCGTAGCCGATGGCCCCTTGGCAAGGCGCGACTCCATAGCGTCGATCAGGCCGTTGTAGTACGGCAGGACCATCGCCACTGTAGGGTACGCCGCTCCCTCCGCGGCCTTGGAGACTTTGGCGAATGGGCTGAGGAAGGTCTTGACAGAATGCAGAGTCTCCCAGTCTGCGTCCGTCAGGCGCAAGGTGTCCATCTTCGCCTTGTCAGCCTTCGACACGCCCTGTCGGGTAGAACGTATGGGTGGGCGGGTGTTAGGGTGGAAAGTGGGGTGGTTGAGGTTGTTGGAGGTCCGATAAGTTTAGTCAAGCATGGCCAACAGTGGTGCAAGTCCCAGAAGAAAACACCCCGACTGACATACCAACACATAAAACCGCATACACAACACCTGGCACACACACACACCTGTGTCTGGGCAAAGAAGACAGAGATGGGTTCCTGCAGAACCCCAGCTCGCTCGACCATGTCGTGGGTCGACCCCCAGCGTGTGGGACTGTCCTGCACCAGCTTCAATGCCGGCTTCGGTCTGGCGGGGTTGCCCTGCGCGTTCAGGGTCCGCTGAAGGCCCAAGAACTTCCCTGAGCGCTGCGGCGAGAAGCCTATCCACGACGCCATCTCTCTCAGAATCTTCAACAACTTGCGGATGGCGGTCACAGCGAGTGCTGCCTTCACTGCAAGGTTGATCACGTGTGCCAGGCATCTGCGCACATCACAAAACATTAATGGCGGAGAGAAAGGGAAGTGTGAGTGCACATTGGCATAGATCCGCGAAACACTACCACTCTCAAGCCGCATAGGCCCACCCGCCTGTACTACAACCTCAACATGTTCACATCACAGGAACGACGCACCCAGACTCCCTCATCGCACATCCCACGCACACTCCCTTTCGTACCGGAAGTGCATGCGCGAGTTGAAGAAGCACTGGCCACCACCCTCCTCCGACATCCACCTGAAAGCGGCAGTGTTGCTGGAGGCGTTGTCTGAGGTGAACCCAAGACAACGCGTCTCCAACCCCCACTGCACCACAGTCTCCTCAACCACCCTCGCCATCTGCTTGCCCGTGTGACGCCCGTGAATCTCGCGGAATTCAAACACCATTGTGCGCAGCTGGTAATTCTCGTCGATCCAGTGACCCGTTACCACTAGCCACGCCCTCTTGTTGGGCGACGTCCACATGTCGATGGTGAACGACACCCTGCACCCCAGATCCCCCTCCTTCGCCAGCATCTCCGCAATGGCTGACTGAAGAGCGGCAGCCGCATAGACCACTGTATCGCGGGAAACCGTCCAGCGCGAGGGGATGAAGTTCTTCTGCGCGCAGTTGCGGTTTAGCAGGATGAGTAGCTCATGAATCTGGAGAGGAGTAGAGACAAGGGGGGAGAGGGGAGTAAACGTCAGGGGGATGGGATGAAAATAATATAGCACTGCACTGGGCCACACGCAAACATTCAAAACACAAAGGGACAGACCCGTCCACTAACCACATACTTGCCCAATCATGCATGGGATGGGATGGGGCACTTACAGCCTCGGCCTCGACGATGCGGAAGGGGAGGTCGCAGGTGACCACCAGCTTCGTGATCGCCTGCCGTAGCTGCACCGAGGTCAGTTTGGTTGTCATCCACCGCTCCATCCCGCCTGACCCATGACCTCCACCAGTCGCCATCCCTTTCCCCTTGGCGAGCTGCGGCCAAGTCTTGGCATGTGGCCACTGATAGACGTAGCCATCCGGCACTCCCTTGTAGCCCCCACGTGGAAACGTCTCCCCTGGCAAGTGAACGGACGGGGTGTGGTAACGGTGATGCCACACATGCATGTGCGCAGTGTGGAAGCTCGCAAAGTGCCGCTCGCCGGGGGTTGTTGTGGATTGCTTCCACGAAATCCTGTCTGTGCAAATCTTGCACTGACACTTATCGTCTGCCCCTAACGGTCCGAACATCATTACTTGCCACCCCGGCTTCCTATTACCCTTGCCAGTCCCCTTACTACTCTCGGACTCTCCGTCCTCGTCTAGGAACTCGGGAGCGATTACACCCTCGCCCAAGGACTCCCCAGTGAACGTGCAGGGATACGCCCGCTCCCTCAACTTGTTGGCCTTCTTCCTCTGCCTCGGCTCCCTAATGGTCACGGCCTTTCTCCCCCCCCACCTTAACCCCCACGCTCCCTCCCCCTTCACGCACATGCTGTGATCCCGCCTCTGTCGCCGCCCTTCCACCACCCTCTCCCACCTCCTCCTCCCGCCCCTCTGGCTCCAACCCATCCATCTCGTGGTCTTCATCATCATCATCTCCCCCCTCCCCATCGCCATGCGTCTCTGGGTCCCACGCCGCCTCGCTGTCATCCCCGCTCCCCTCAGTGTCCTCCTCCTTCTCGCCCTCACCATCCTCCTCCTTATCCTCCTCCTCGCTGCCGCTCTCCGGCTGCGTCGGCGTCTGCCCCGAAGGAGGGGGTCGAGGGCCGTCGTAACGGAAAGAGCGACGAGAGGTCGGCGCCGGTACAGTAAGCAACCCCCCAACGAAGATCGCGCCGGCTCCTCCCGGTCCATCCCCTACTCGCCCCTGCATAGGTCGTGGTGGAGATCCCGGTGCGCTGCCCTGAGCCCTGCCTGCACCTCGGCCTATGGATCCACCAGCCCTGGAAGCCATAACTCCGCCCTCGACCCTAAACCCTAAAACACCCTTCCTGCAACGGTAGCGTTGGATGGTGCCGCACGTTCCTAATGCCCGATCCGAATCCTACGGCGTAGGATACGCCCTACTTGAGCCCTTTGCGGAGATGCTCGCTGAACCTTAATAGTAACCCTAAACTCCCTACACTACGTTAAACCCTATGCATAGATCTATCTATCTAATGTCCGTTTACACTGCAAGTATCAGCGTGCACTTGCTTGCACCTAGAACAAGGAGGCTAGGGCGGCTGTGTGAGGGAGCGCTAAGGCGAAAACGACTTCTGAGTTTGAGCTCACGAAATGAGCTCAAACACAAATTGGCCGCGACCTAAATCTGGTCGCGGCCAATTTTGACGCGAACATTTTTGGTGTTCGCGTGGCCCCCAAGTCGAACACGAACATGTTCGTGTTCGGCTTGGAGAGCCAAAATTCGGAGGCGAACGTCTAGCATGACCACCGAACATGTTCGGCCCGAACAATTTAGGCAAAAATAAAATGCCTGTTCGGTTCGCTTCGAACATGTTCGAGGCGAACCGAACAGGCGTTCGGGATTTTGCTCATCCCTAACTCAGGGTCTTGACCATATAGAGTGGCACGTGCCAAGAGCTTGTGTCGAGAATAAGCATGTGGTGCGCATGCGATGTGGGTGGGTCACACAGCATGTGGAGCATATGTGATGTGGGCGGTTCACGCGGCATGTGGTGGGTATGCAATGTGGGTGGGTCACGTGGTATGTGGTGCGCATGTGATGTGGCTGGGGCACACGGCATGTGGTGCGCATGTGATGTGGGTGGGGCACACGGCATGTGGTGCTGGTCACATTTCAATTCACGACACGTAGCAGCACTCACAAGTGAGCAAGATTTGGGAGGTTGCCAAGAAAGTCAGGAATGGTGCCTGTCATGCTGTTGTAGCCAAGGTTACTGATGTGATGGGACCGAGAGACACAAGGCACGTTCGTAGGGTATGCATGAGGCATGTATAAGGCATGCATAAGGCATGCATGAGGCATGTATAAGGCATGCATAAGGCATGCATAAGGCATGCATAAGACATGCATAACGCATGCATGACGCATGCATAACGCATGCATAAGGCATGAATATGGTTGTTTTCGACGCTCATGGTCGCCCATCGACGCTCGTGGTCGCCCATGGTTGCTGATGGACGGCTATGGTTGGTCATGGTCGCTCATGGTCGCTCATGGTCGCTCATGGTTGCTGAATGCTGATAAATGGCTATGGTTGGTCATGGTTGGTCATGGACGGCTATGATCGCTCGTCGTCGCCCAAGATCGCCTTCTCATTCGGAAACAGATGCAACAAAAGTGCAGTCGTGGCAGTGAAGATAGAGAGACGGAAACGGATCCCGTTGCATGCCATTGCATCACATCAGGTACCATCGAAATGCATCCTACTCCATCCCAATACGATCCTTTCCCGTCACATACGATCATCACATCCTATCCTACCATCACAGCAACTCACAACACAGTACCTTACATCACATCAAATCACGTCACATTGCATTGAAAGACGTTACATCATATCACATGGGATCACATGGGATCACATCACATCAAATCACATCACATTCTTATCAATTCGCATCACATCACATCACGGGCTACAGTAAGTTGGCTTGCTTCGATCCAACCCATACATAGTAAGTTGGAATATGTGATCAAAACACTTTGTGTTTAGCGTATACACGCTAGCGTGTACACGCAAAACGCTATACGATAGCAAATACGCTATACGCTCGCCAATTTTCTTTAGGGGCAGCCCGACCAAAAAAAATGCGATTCGGTGCGGAATTGCACGACGAGCACATTGCCGAAGGCGGAATGACGTGTGCAAGCGTGGACGTGTGTTCAGGGTTTTGTGTCGGGAAATGACTTCTGAACCACAACCCCCCAAACCTCCCCCACATTGGCCCCCCCACGGGTTTTTTTCCCCCATTCGTTTTCCTGCCCGGAAAAGCTTATTCCCAAACCCAACCATGCAGCGATTAGCGTATAAACATTAGCGCACATACGAAACGTGTATATATGCTAAAAGAGTATATCTCAACTTAAATGGAAAACATCAAATTCCAGTACAATGGTTGAGAGAGATAACATAACAAACTGATGACGTAAAATGGAGTGAGCCTGCAATTCGTTGCAGAACTTAGAGCTCTTATTATTGAAAAACTTACAAGTAGGTCAGAGATATGAGGCTGCTGAACGTTGCTGGTATGGAACCAGTCAGCTTGTTACTAAGCAGTTGTATGCACCTCGGAAATAGGGTGCAAAAAAGAAGGGAGTCATGGGCAGACAGGGGTTTGTTAGTACGAGCATACATCCTCCAGTATCTATACAATATAGCAACAGCAACAGGTGATGAGCTAAGAAGCTATGAGGCAGGCACTCAGTTGCTGCCACACACACAGACCACCAGAAGAATGCTTGGTGCTCAAAGCTGGACTAAGGCACTAAGGCCATAATCCATGCTTGACCGAGCATTTTACTCAGTGTACGTTGGGATAAGGGCATGGTCTAGTGAACATTCAGATAGACAACAAGGATGGAAGACACGAGCAAAGTCCGAACGGACTAGTAGTACTTGCATCACCTATATTACATACATATGAGTGCAAAATTCTGAACGGGCTTTTACTTGCATCATCTATAATAGATTGGATCAAGCCCTTCAACAAGACCAGAGCCATTGCTGCCGAGTAACCGAGTTACAAGTTGTAACTTACAACCATGCGTCTCGCATGTCAACGAAACGAGTACAGCATTAACATATGATGAGAAACGCGGAACACGACTCGCACACGTTAACTGAACGAGGAACAACGGCACTAACAAACTTCCTAGGCTACTGGACAAAATACATATGTTTTAGGACAATTTTCGACACGTTTCAGAACGACTTTGTCTTCATGTGTTAACCGAACGAGGAACAGCACTGACAATCTGTCAAGGCTCCTGAGATTGCCGAGGGATGCAGGGAGGCTGCCACTTAAGCTGTTGTAAGCCAGATGCCTGATAAGCAAATGAACACAGAGGGAAGGCATACAGAGACAATGAACTGAGCATTAGTCTTGAATCGACCCGACCTGACCCTCATTGTTCTCATGAGTCATCAGCTCAGGATCAGCCAGGCGGCACGAGTGGGTTCATCCAGGAAGCCATTGACAACCTAGAGAAGCCAGCGAGCCGTGAGGCTGGAATCTGCCCGCTGGTTAAAAGAAAATAAAAGAAACAACCCCTGCCTAGCTCGCAAGCCATGTATGCGGCAAGTGACAAGCCATGCGGCAAGTGACAAGATGCGGCAAGTGACAAGATGCGGGAAGTGACAAGCTGACAGGGCTCGTCAACACCCCCTACTTCCCCGCGCCCTTTCCTTCCCTCCCTTCCCCTGGCTCGTCCACTTTGCCTGCGTCCCCGGGCCAATACCCCGGCGCATGGTCCGCTCGGCTCGGCTCAAATCGGGTCAGGTCGGGTTGGGCCAGGTTGGTTCAGGTCAGGTCGACTCAGGTCGAGTCGGGCCAGGTCGGCTCAGGTCCGTTCAGGTCGGTTTAGGTCGGTTCGGGCCATGGAAGGGACAAGTTTTGAGGTGCCTCAAAACTCCGTTCAGGTCGGTTCAAGTCTGTTCGGTTCGGGCCATGCAAGGGACAAGCCTCTACTGGCTCGAGACGTGCCGGCTCAACTCGACCATTTCGCCCGGTGAAATAAAGCGCTCCAAGGCGAAAAACAGAAATTAGAGTGTTAGGCGGCTAGCAGAGCAAGTGAGGCTGGAATGGAATAGCAAATGAGTGTGATGCACACATCGTCCAGCCAAGTAGCTGATCAGGAAACTCACACTTTGGACAGATTTCGAAGGTTGCCAATAGTAGCTGGTATTGGGCCAGTCAGTTTACTGTTCCATAAATTCCTGCATTTGTGAAATGAAGGAGGGTTGTAAGGATGGACTGAAGGCCATGTAACGAGCTCGGAGGGTTGTAAGGAGGAACTGAGGGCCATGTAACGAGCTCGGAGGGTTGTAAGGAGTAAATGAAGGCCATGTAACGAGCTCCGACGGTTGTAAGGAGGAACTGAAAGCCATGTAACGAGCTTGGAGGGTTGTAAGGAAGAGCTGAAAGCCATGTAACGAGCTCGGAGGGTTGTAAGGAGGAACTGAAAGCCATGTAACGAGCTCGGAAGGTTGTAAGGAGGAACTGAAGGCCATGTAACAAGCTCGGTGGGTTGTAAGGAGGAATTGAAGGCCATGTAACGAGCTCGGAGGGTTGTAAGGAGAAATTGAAAGCCATGTAACGAGCTCGGAGGGTTGTAAGGAGGAACTGAAAGCCATGTAACGAGCTCGGAGGGTTGTAAGGAGGGACTGAACCGAAGGCTGTGTAGCGAGCTCGTCAGCATCAACGTGAGACTTGGAATGAAACGACATGGTTGGCTAGCTGGCTGGCTGGCTGGCTGGCTGGCTGGCTGGCTGGCTGGCTGGCTGGCTGGCTGGCTGGCTGGCTGGCTGGCTGGCTGGCTGGCTGGCTGGCTGGCTGGCTGGCTGGCTCACAACCTCGAAAAGGTAACTCGTTCTTTCTTTGTGGCGCCTCAAAACCAGACACATCCCAGATCCGGGACCTGGGAGCAGCAGCACTCAAGGAGCAGCAGCACCCACAGGTGGGTAAGGCTTTGGAGGTTGCTGATGGAGTCCGGGATTGTCCCGTTTAAGTTCGCATCAGAGATCATTCTGTTGGTGGGAGGAAATTGGAACGAGAGAGACTTTTTTTTAAAGCCCGCAGCCCAAATTGCGGGCCGCGCGGGTCAAGAATTTAAAACTTGACGAACTAGTGTTTGCAAGGTTTGAAAAAAAGTGTGCCTGCAATTTGGGACTTCTGATGACTGAGCCTAGGGATGAGCAAAGGGCGAACACGAACATGTTCGTCTTCGCCCCTTGTCGAACACCCTCTTTTGCCGAACCGAACAGTGTTCGGTTCGGCGAACAGTTTAGGAAAAAACAGGTGTTCGCTGTTCGCCTGTGGAGGCGTGTTCGGGCGAACCTCGAACACTGTTCGTGTTCGTCGCGGGCAAATTTCAGCAGCGGCCCGAACACGAACGTGTTCAGGCGAACATCGAACACTGTTCGGCGAACGATTTGAGCTAAAAAACAAAACCTGTTCGGTTCGCCTCGAACACGTTCGAGGCGAACCGAACAGGTGTTCGCCACCTTGCTCATCCCTAACTGAGCCAACCCACAGGGCGAAATACGAGGGCAGGCTGGGTTTGGCGAAAAAAACGATATCAAATTTTTTTGCCAAAACCCAGACCAGAAAAACCCTCTCGCATCAACCTTTTACAACTTGTGCAATTTGGGCTGCCGGTTTTAAGTAGGCGCGTCAGTCAGAAAAGGTTTCTGCTGATGGAGGCTGGAATTGCCCCGTTTAAGTTATCGTCATAGATCATTCTGTTGATGGGTGGACACTGAAATGGGAGAGAGGACTTTTTTTTTTGTTGACTCAAAAATCGACTCAAATATTTTGAGTCGACTTAAAATTATATGTCCTGGATCGAGGGCCTATGAGGATCCACTCCCATGGCTTTTTACATCTCACTCACACATGTCAGCGCACAGCCTCTGAAGCATCAGGGCCCTATGACCTATCACATCTGAAGCATGGGGGTCCCCTCGCATCAGAAGCATGGGGGTCCCCTCACATCTGAACCATGGGGATCCCCTCACATCAGAAGCATGGGGATCCCCTCACATCTGAACCATGGGGATCCCCTCACATCAGAAGCATGGGGATCCCCTCACATCTGAACCATGGGGATCCCCTCACATCAGAAGCATGGGGATCCCCTCACATCAGAAGCATGAGGGTTCATGAGGGTCCATGAGGGTCCCTCCCTGAAAGCCCATGAGAGCCCATGAGGATCTATCTACCCACGCACATCTCCGTGATCATGCCCTGGGAGTCGCACGTGGCGCTGCTGGCATTGCTGCAGTCCCCACCAACCACCCAGGCAGTCATGGATCCATGAGGAAGCATGGGGACCCACTCACATCTCCGTGATCATGCCCTGGGAGTCGCATGTGACGCTGCTTGCCTTGCTACAGTCCCCACCAATCACCCAGCCGTCAAACGTTGTGCTCCACGCCTTCTGACAGTCCAGCAGGACTTGCGCTGGCGGCAGGTGGAGGGAATAGGGGGAGTGGAAGAGAAGAGAGAAGGGCAGCCAATGGAAGAGAGAAGGGCAGCCAATGGAAGAGAGGAAGGCAGAAAGTGGAATGGAGAGGACTCAAATGGTGCTCCACACAATTCTCTTATTGCATGCCCCCCACATCCCATCAGTCTCCCTTCTCTCATCACACGCCATCCTCTAATCATACGCCTTCCACCTCTCTCATCGGATTCCCTCTCACCCACCTCATCACATTCCGCCGCTCCATCACTTGCTCTTCCAATTCGACCCAGTGTACGGGAAGGGCGATAGAAGGACGAGGGGGGCAAAGGGCCAGTGAACAGGGAATGTAACGCCTAGTGTTGAAGGGTCCGCTGCGCCTCAATAAAACCCTCATTTTGACCCAGTGGGTAACGAGGCGTAACAGATCCTGGTTCGATTCTCGGCTGGTCCACATTTTCCGCATGTAGCGAGAACCAGACTCGAACCCGCAAGCGGTCCTCCGCTGGCATGACCCTCCAGCGAAGACGGTATCACCTTCCCCAGCGAAGTCATCTAGTAGGTTCCGGCAACGGAGTAACCCTCAGCACCGGGTGCTGACGCCGGCGGATCGCGCAGTGAATGGCAAAAAGCAAGATGTGTTTGACGACGCCACGGGATGCAGTTTCTACTTTAATAATTTTTTCAGCACGCGCCGCGATACTCCTCAATGATTCATTGACTCTGTAAGTTGTCGGATCATGATGATCACGCCTGTAATGATGGCATCGCGGGGCGGCACGCACCCTGTGATTTGACGAGAGGAACGCATTTGACGCGTGAGACCGCGTGACACATCAGCAGCAGCGCGGCGCCGAGCAGAAAGGCTGCTGCGGGCTTCATCACGCCGCGACGGTCGCGGGAAGCCGCAGGTCGCTGGTAGTTCTATCAACTAATCTCGACTCGCGCCTAAATAAACCGAAATGATCTGGGGAAGAAAAAACGTGCTGAAAATGGTGTCTGGTTTGGCTGTTTATGGCGAGCAAAAAGCGGGCTTGAAAGTGGTAAATTTCGGAAGTGGGGGGTCATTCGAATATCTCAAGATGCAGTAACGCCGAGTATGAAGGTGGCTTCTAGAAGTAGGTGTCACTGGAAGGAGTGGTTCGAAACGAAATTGACTGGGAGAGAAGCGCCACCACGCGAGGAAGGCAAGCACCCCACGGGATTCCGTTTTACATGTGCGACCAATAGAGTTCGATGGCAGTCGAAGCTGTCAGGAGTGAAGTGAAGGGGGAGCCAGGGTTGAACGTGAAGGATTGGGTGCGTTGCGGAATGATTCACTGCCCAAATCAAACAATCTGACACCTGTGATCTCTTGTCTTTTACGGTTCTAGGAAGCAGTACAAGAACGCATACAGTACAACGTCAAACCTGCAATAGAAGTACACGATGTGTTTGAATGATACTACTGGATATAATAGTTCCACTAACAATCACAATGATTCAGAGTAAAAAAACTTTCAACCAAACTGCATTTCCCGGAACGCCACATCACTATCATCCATGCCCTGCCTCAGATTGGCGCGCTTCTTCTGCCACCCGCCCCGCCGTCCAGAACAGGCCCTCAGATATCAGCGTAAAACACGCTGATTAGGCTGATTTTGTAGCTGTGATTTTCGTTCTCCCTGGAAATTCAGCATATGCTTCAATTTTGCACTGAAATTTCAGTATAAACTACCTTGCCACACTGACCATTTTCCGTGTTGCTGTAGAAGTAACACTGACGAATCAGTGTAGTGTCGTGAGTCACACTAAAACGGACTTGACCGATTTGGGAGGGGGGGGGGGGCGGGTACGCGTGTGTATAGTATGTACCTGGCTCGGGATTCACGAGACCCCACCCACACACTTGGAAATGCCATGCGCTGTACAGCAGATCGTGTGCCGACGTGCTTTGCATCGCTGGAATGAACTCTCGCAGCGGCAAACTTTGAGTTGAATTGGTGATTCAACTTTGTTTTTCTTTTTTACACTGATGGTTCAGTCTACTTATGATTTTTACACTGGCAAAATCAGTATAAAAAAAAACCATGAACGCTGATTTGGACACCTGGGCGGCCGGGGCACGCTGATCGATCAGTATACCCTTAAACCAATCTGAGGGCCTGGTCCAGAAACTGGGCGGCAGTTTTGGCACGTAGCTCGTCAGCCCCCTCACCCTCCTTGGCCCGTTCAAGCACGAGGTGGCGGCCGTACAGGTGAGTGCTCTTGAGCGCATCAAAGGCACTCTCTGCTTCCCTCTTTCTGGCAAACTCCACAAACGCAAACCTCCGGTGGCCCCTGTCAAACTTGCGCGCCAGCCGCATGCTCTTCAGCTGAGGGTTGGGGGAAGAGGGGCACGAGGGAGGGTGGGGTTTGGGGGTCGTGGGGAATGGGAGGAAGGTTTTGAAAAATGGCGAGCAAGCTGGGAGAAAAGAGGAATTAGGGAAAGGGAATTGCATAATAATGAGGAAATTCTTCATGAACAACGTCAAGCTTGCGGGAAAAGGTAGGCAATTTCTGGAAAGACTCTCATTTTTTATTGCAGATTGATTATGAGGATCCTCATAATTGGAATAATTAAACCAGGACTAAGGTGAGTGTAACAACCCACCAAGATACGTTTACCAGTTGCTGTGTAAAAGTAGTACCTGCGGAGATAACTACTACAACGAGAGCTAGACTACGGGGTAGGCACGGGTGCTTGTGTGATCTTTACGTTCGTTGGTCCTTAGTCGTTTTCCTAGTGCACACACAGCTTGATTGTTCATGGGGAGAATTGGCAAGAGTTTCACTAGAGAAAGTTGACAACAATGGTACAATGAAGTTTGCATGGCAAGACTACATCAGAGCTAACATTCAGATCGGTGGACTGCCACCGCAGCATGGTCGAACGCGTTCCAGCATGACTTGGTCGACCGCGCTCCAGGAGTGCAAAATCGCCGGCGTGCCAACGCTGTATGTTGACGGCGTTCTAGCGTTGCTCTCGCAGTACAGCATTGCACCAGCTTTGCAGGTGCTCGCAGATGATTGGCGCGATGAGCCTTGCCACCTGCACAACGCATACACCAAGTCAGCCTGGCGCTGACGACTGCATCTGATCAGCCACGTCACTCCTGGTCGACCAGCTCCACGTCGATCAGCGTAGTTGTTAGCCGACCACCCAAGTCAGCTACCCGAAGTCGGCGTCACCAAGTTGACGCCCTAATACTTGATGCCCGGCTACTCAACCTCCTGAATCGTGGTCGACGTCGGCCCCTCCTCCGTCGACCACCAGGTCGACATCACGCCTGGTCGACCAACCACCAAGTCGACCAGCGGGTCTGTCATCCGACCACCCCAAGTCGGCAGCCCCAAGTTAGCGTCACCAAGCCGACGCCCTCCGTAGGTCGACTTCCCAGGTCAATTTCCTGAAGTTGGCGCCACCCTGAAGTCGGCGCCCGTGCAGTGTCCCCCGTGCAGGTTGACCTCCTCATCAACCAGCTCGCCCACTACTGCGGGTCGGCTGCTCCCCTCACACTCCGACCACGAAGTCGGCTCCCGCCCAAGCGAGGACGGGGCCAACTTACAACTCCCGTTGACAGTACCTGCCCGTTCTGATTTCACCAGCGCATGAAGCTCAACTGCCCGAAAGGTGCAAAGAGCTGTTGAATGTCTCTCTTAGTGGCCTCGAAGGGCTGGAGGGTAGAAAAAGGGGTGAGGGAAGGGAAGGATGGCCGGGGGAAAAGATAGAGAAAGGTGCAAAGAGCTGCTGAATGGCCCTCTTAGTGGCCTCGAGGGGCTGGAGGGTAGAAAAAGGGGTGAGGGAAGGGAAGGATGGCCGGGGGAAAAGATAGAGAAAGGTGTAAAGAGCTGCTGAATGTCCCTCTTAGTGGCCTCGAATGGTTGGAGGTGGGGGTTTGGGGGAAGGAAACAAAAGAAGGTGAGAAAAGGGACAAGGCGAGGTGGGGATGAGAGTAGACATAACTTTGAGGCACCAAAAAGGTGAGCGGAAATGGGTATGAGTATGAGGGCTGGCTAAGAAGCGCAAGGAACGTGAATTTAAAAAGAAGGGAGGGAAGGAGCACACGGTTACGAATGGAAGAAAGAAAAATTGAATGGGGATGGGATGGGCGGAAGGCAAACTATTGATTGTCTACCCCAATGAACATATTGCAAAACATTCAAAGCCGTTACCCTCAAATCTCCACCTTCCGCACCATCACTTTGGTCGAGCTATCCTTCCCCTTGCCCCCTGCCCTGCTGTATCTTCTTTCTCCTCACCCCCCTTCGCCTCCCCTTTGCTCAACTGCAGCAGCGATGCATGTCCATCCAGCACAGTTTCCCTGATGAAAGAGTTGAACACGGTTAGGGCAGAAAGGAGGAGTAGAATAGAGGTGTTCAGAAGGCATAGGGGTGTAGGGGTAAGCAGCGAATTTTGAGGCGCCTCAAAGAAGGCATAGGAGTGTAGGGGTAGGCAGCAGGTTGCCTACAGTTGTTCTTGCCCCCCTCCCCACTCCCCAAATTGTACCGGACGTGCATGCATGCAGAAGGCATATAGACCACACCACACGAATCATCTGCAGTGATTAGAGCCAAACTACATGAATCCAAACAAGAATATACAAAACATGTGCTGGATGTGGATGGACATGCATGAATGCATAAGTGAAATTATGAGGACCACGCTGCACAACTCACCTGCAACAGCTTGCACGCGCGGTATGCAGCGAGAACCGATCCAAACTCCACAACCCGAACCCCATCGACAGCTTTCTAGCTGTTCTGCTCCCGCTTCTTGATGTGCAGTGAGTTCACAACCAAGGCGGGTGAGGGAGGAGCAGAGTTGGACGACTGTTGAGCCGTATGCATTATTTGCCACAAGGGGCTCACACATGAGGGAGGTATTTATATATACTATATACATCATATGTTCTAGACATATATTTGAACATTTGCATACAAAATACTCAAGGGAATTGAGGAACAAGCAGAATGCGCACAAAAGGCAACGTGCATGCCAGTGAAAATCACAGGTAAAAAGTGCAAGGGCTCATCAGCTGCTCTCTCCATTCATATATGAGCACAAGACCCCCACCCCTCCCTTCCCCCCCCTCTCTTCCCCCCTCTCCCCCCCCCCCCCCCCCCCCCCCCCCCCCCCCCCCCCCCCCTACCTCGCACCAAATCCGCATCTCACTGTGACGCTGCGTATGGATGGGCCCCCCTTGGCCCCGGTGTGCTTGCTTCTAAGAAGCTTCTCCAAGTGCTCCTTCAGCTGTGCCTCTGTGGTGGCAAAGCTCAGATTCTTCACAAACACACTGTGGCTCGTGGGCTGGCATGCAGGGAAAGGAAACAGTTGGGAGAGTGGTGAGGTGAGGAGGGGTAAAAGGATGGCAGTAGGAGGTGAGAGCTCGACGCAAGAAGCTTCTGCAGGTGCTCCTTGGGCCGCGCCTCGGTAGTGCAAAGCTCAGATTCTTCACAAACACACTGTGGTTCGTGGGCTGGCATGGAGGGAGGGGCGAGAGAGGGAGGAAGCAGAAGGTGGGGGGGAAGGAGGGGAGGGGGGACAGGAAGGTAGTAGAAGAGGAACGAGGGGTGGTGAAGCTCAGATTCTTCGCAAACACACTGTGGCTCGTGGGCTGGGATGCAGGGAAAGAAAATACAAGAGGGGACGAGATGTGAGAGTGGGAAGAGAAAAAAGGGGAAGGAGAATGGAGAGTTGGAAAGCTGAGGATCTTGACAAACAAACTGTGGCTTGTGGGCTCGGGTGTGAAAGAGTCTCAGTGTTGTCTTGATTAGAAAGAGTGTGGGTACATATAGGAGATGAGAAGTTGGGAGCTAGGTGGGGTACCCTCAGCATTTATTGGCGGACCAATCAGATTGGGTCGACCAACAATTGCTGGGGTAACCAACAATTATTGGAGGGGACCATTATTTACCCCCCCCTTCATTGTGGTCGAGTTGTGTTTGGGGCACCCAACCAGAATTGGTTGGGTCGCCTTGACCCAGAGTGTACACCCAGTTTAGGGTGTAACCGTCGCACAAATAAAAACATACATAATGCTATATTCTAACAGGGTGGTGGAGCAAAGAGAGTGGGAAGAAGGAAAGGGAGGGCAGTGAGGTTGGGATTGGTTGAGAGAGGGGTGGGGGATTTGAGGCAGAGACGTCATTTGAGAGAGAGAAAGAGGTATGGCACAGGGTGGAGACGCACGGAAGGTCAACGTCTTGACATGGAACACGCACTTAACACGAGGCAGCAGAAAACATGAGGCAGCACGTAACACAAAATCAGCCTCCCATTATGGCAACAGTTGGGCTTCCTTCAATTCAGACCTCCCTCCACCCTCCCAGCACATCCTTCAACCCTATCCCACCCACCCCCTCTGTTCCTCCTTTTGCTAGGCTCACCTGCCCATCCTCCTCCCCTTCCACCGCATGCCCTTCCCCTCCTTCTCCTCCCCCATCTCTCCCTGCCACTCCCCCCACGGTCTCCGCCTCAGCAGCCACACGCCTGGCCGCCTTCCCATCCATCACCACAGGCAAAAGCCCCACTGCTCCCTGCTTCTTTACACTCTTCATCTCGCCTCCCTCGTTCTCTTCTCTTGCTCTTCCCTCTCCTGGCCCCCCACCCGCTTCCCTAGAAGTTGCTGTTGCTGTTGTGGTTGGCGCGTTCGATGGCGTTGCGGGTTCTAGGAGGATTCCTTTTGGTGCCCATTCCAGGTACAGAGGAACATGCCTGGTCGGTTCACAATGAGAACAAGAGGGTCAATGCGGTTCAAGGGTGTTCATAGCGGTACAGAGGAGAAGGAATGAAAGGGACACATGCCTGTTCTGGTTAAGAATGGAAACGTGGAGGATCAAGTGTTCTGAAAGAAGTAAAAAGGTCATCTTCAGAAGTACAGAGAAGCGTCACGTTATGCTGATTCCCATCCCAAAGGGCGTGCTAGCATAAACGACAGCACATTCACTAGCATTTACAGAAATACTTACACTGGGCAGGTTGAAAAAAAAAACAATATTTAAGGAGTTCATTAGGAGCACTCGCTTGATTCACTTATAGGGATGCAAGACTCATAAAATTTACAAGCCACTCACTGGTATTTCTTATAAGCTAGGCCCTTGAAGGCCCTCTTGGCATCAGCAGAATCGGCCATCTCCACCTGACCATGGGAGTGAGGGAGAGAGGAGGGGGGTTATACGGGGGATGGGTGAAAGGTGAATGGGGCGAAGGGATGGGGGCGTGGAAGGGAAAAGACAAGGTTAGAAGAAACAAGAGGGTATAAGAAACAATGGTTTAAAGCCCTAATGGCATTTGCAAAATGAGGGGGGGAGGGAAAGGGAGGGAGGGAGGGAGGGAGGGAGGGAGGGAGGGAGGGAGGGAAGGAGGGAGGGAGGGAGGGAGAGGGAGGGGGGTTCGAAGAATTGGGGAATAGTGGTACGGGACTGAGTGGAAACGAGCATGCATGTTCGGAACATCATACTTGATTGACTTGACCTGAATTGACTTCTGAGTTGACTCAAAAGTTTACAGAGAGGAAACGAGCATGGAAGCTGGGGATACCAGACTTGACACGCTTGAAAAGGTCATACAAGTTGGGAACAAGAGACCAGCTGCTTAACCTCCTCAGCCGTGCTGCGCTGCACCTATGTCTATCCACAAAGCATGCAACCGAAACAAACCCACCAAGTCACCAACCCCGACCCCCCCCCCCCCCCCCCCAAATCCCCCCCCCCTCCCCCCCCTCCCTCCCACCTCGCCTCACAACCCTCTCTCACTGCCCTCACCCCCTGCCCTCCCACTTACCAATGCAACAGTATTGGTGGGCGGCAGCACAAACCTCGCTACCGGTCCGAACCGCTGGAACAACCCCACCAGCTCGCCAACCTCCACCTTGAAGGGCAGATTCTTTACCAGCACCACACTTTTGCTGCGCGCCAAGCTACCCCCACTATCACCACCATTAGCACCACCATCCGCCTTGACATCCGCTTTCCCAGCTGCTTTTGCAGCAGCGGCCTTGGCAGCAGCAGTGGCAGCGGTGGCGAATTGCTCCATGCGGGTCACATGGATGCCTGCGTCTAGCAGCCCGCTTGGTGTCCGCCACTATGTGCGCCTCTCCCAGTGCCAGCCGCACTGCTGTGTTGCTGGCTGATGGATCAAGGAGGTCTCTTTTCGCGACTCCATACCTTTGGGCTACTACTTCAGCCACCTGATAGGAAGGGCGCATGGAGCAGAAAAGACAGAATGGAGAGCCTGTAAGGCGGCGGTGGCGAATTGCTCCATGAGGGACACGTGGATGTCGGCGGCGTCTAGGAGAGCCCTCTTGGTGTCCGCCACTATGTGCGCCTCTCCTAGGGCCAGCCGCACTGCTGTGTCGCTGGCTGATGAGTCCAGGAGATCCCTCTTAGCCACCCCGTACCTCTGTGCTACTGCTTCAGCTACCTGGGGGAAAATGGGAGGGGGGGGGGGGGGGGGGGGGGCATGGTGAATGGAGCTTCAAGCAGGGCGCGCTTGTTGTCTGCCACTATGTGTGCTTCTCCCAGTGCCAGCCGCACTGCTGTGTCGCTGGTCGATGGGTCGAGGAGATATTTTTTTGCCACCCTGTACCTCTGCTCCTCTGCTTCAGCAACCTGGGGCGGGGGTATGAGAGGGGGGGAGCAGGGAGCATGGGGCATGGAGTGTCAAGCAGGATGGAGTAGCCGCCTCTATGTGGGCTTCCGTAGGGCCAGCCGCACCACTGTGTCACTCGCTGATAAATCCAGGCGATCACTTTTTGCCACTCCACTGCGCACCTCTGCGCCACTGCTTCGGCTACCTATGGGGAGGTGGGAATGGGGACGGGAAGGGAGATGGAGGGAGAATCGGGATCGGCATGGGGAACATGGAAAGACATGGCCCATCCATGCCCTCTCCACTGCAGTAGCAAGCTGCCAAGAGCTTTTGCTATGCACCGATCTCTTTTACCGTAACAGGTCGCATATAAAAGGATCTTCAAGCATGGGTGTCCCCTCCAGCTTCCCTCTTTTCACACAATGTATCAGGGGGCATGCACAAGGATCGCAGTCATGCACATTCATGCACCTACCATTGCATGTGCCCATTTGTCCTACCGTATCAGGTCGCGTATAATAGGAGCTCCAAGCATGAGGTTTTCAGGTGCCTCTAATATCATCTCTCTCCTACCGTATCAGGTCGCATGTAGAAGGAGCTCCAAGCGCGGGTGTCCCCTTCTGCTTCGCACTTCTTCCTCTCCTCTTCCCTCCTCTCCTTCAATGTTTTTGCCTGCATGTTCGCTTCCCTGCACGAGTGTTAAGGAGGGAAGAAGTCAACACCAAGAAAACAACAAATGAAGTCAATGAAGTCAACTCTCCTCCTCTCCTTCAATGTTTTTGCATGCAGGTTCGCGTCCCTGAATGGGTGTTAAGGAAGGTGCACATACGTCCAAACAAGGAAACACAAATAAAAAAAAGTCAACTCTCCTCCCTCCTCTCCTTCAGCAACTTTGCGTGCAGGTTCGCGTCCCTGCATGCATGGGTGTTCAAGAGGGAACATAACATGATAGGTCAACAAGAAAACACAAGTCAGCGCAGGTCCCCAGATAACAAGTACAAATAGTCACATTCCACATTCAGGCAGTTGCAGCGCACCCCACCCACCCCACCGCACCCCACCCACCCCACCGCACCCCACCAACCCCACTACATCCCACCCACCCCACCGCACCCCACCCACCCATGGGGGGTGCGAGAGTCGACTGCACTCGGTTCGCCGACTCCCAAGGTCTATCCCTTCACCCTTTCTACCATGCCGCCCGGCTCTGCTTCCCAGTGGGCTATAATACATAGCCTCCGGGCCTTGAGGCGCAGCGGCGCCTGCCTGAGGCGCACTGAGAATGAATTATGCCTTTTTTAACATGTGTGTAAGTTCGCAGATGTTCATACAGTTTCGCTACTAGTTCACGTGCCTTTCACCGACTCCCAAGGTCTGTCCCTGTTGGAAACCGGCACTGGGATGCCCTCAAGGGGACTTCCCAAGGGGACTCCTCAAGGGGACACCCCAAGGGGACATCTGGGATTTCCGAAGCCAATTCAAGAGAAGTTCTGTTAGAATGTTCCACATCGCAGCCTTTCGTGGTCCAAAATCAGGTCGGTTAGAGTGGTTACGAAACGAACCATTTCCACACAAATGTTTCTCGCATAGGACCATGGTGGCTTGCTGCAGCCATTGCAGCGTGACGGAGCACACATATGTCCCTCTTCTGATTTGGTCGTTGATGCTGCTGACATGTCATGTGGTCTCACGAATTGAGTGCCCGCTTTTGAGCACTTGAGCAAACGAGAAGAAAGGAAAGGAAGTAGGGGAGGACATGGGCAACACGGGGGAAAATAAGGGGAGAGGGAAGAGAGAGGGAGGGGGGAATGAGGGAGAGGGGGGCAAGGGGCGAGAGAAGGGGGAAAAGGGAGGAGAGGTGGGAAGGCAAGAAACATGTGTAGATGGGTGAGAAGGGAGTCGAGCGGAGGCGATGAGATGAGATGAGATGAGCTGAGATGAGATGAGATGAGATGAGATGATATGAGATGAGATGAGATGAGATGCGATGCGATACAATTCGATGGGATGCGATGTAATGCGATGAGATGCGATGAGATACGATGCGATGCGATGCGATGCGATGCGATGCGATGAGATGAGATGAGATGAGATGAGATGAGATGAGAGGAGATGAGATGAGATGCAATGCGATTAGATGAGATGGGATGAGATTAGATTAGATGAAATGAGATGGAGAGAGAGGGGAGGGGCGGAGAGGGGAGGGGAGGGTATGGGAGCGATCTAGTAATTTCTTATCCTCCTTGTTCCTTCAACGCACTCCCTTGTAGACTGGCAGGAGGTGAAGGGGCATGTGATGAGCAAGCTGGTTGACCACCGTTTGAGTCTCCTTTCTGTTAGGGTTGGTTCGCCCAACCACGGAACCTAAGGCGAAAGCATCTACGACGGCGGAATGACGGCGAAATGGAAGCGCGTGTGTGAAACGGTGGAAATCGGCCTACGGTGGGGAATAGAGGCTACGGCGTGAGAAGCGGGAGAGAAATCGAGAAGAAATGTGCTAGAAGGAGGCAGAGAGAAGGAGAAGCATCGAGAATGAGATTGACGAGGGGAAAAATGTGCTTCGAGACCAAGGCGCGTTCGAGAAAGTTCGGGATTCGGACTTGCCGAGTGTTCACCGAATTCGGTTCGGTTGTGTGTGCGACTCGGGGTGAAACGAGGCGCACACGGTTACTTGGGAAACAAGTGAAGTTACGAATCGCATTTTGTGTCTTGCCTGACTAGAAAACTGCTTGTACTCATTCTGGAAATCATACCAATCAGATTCTGAAAATCGCTGAAGTTTGTATTGACAACTTCAAGCAGAGCTGCGCATATCATTGGATTCGGGAGATCATGGAGAACACGATAGGCGATAGCAAGTAGACTATTGCCGACTAAGGTGCTTACGATCCTGAGAACTGGTATCAGAGCTTGACGAACGGGCTCGTCGATCGTCGAGAATTCACTTGGTGCGCTAAGTGAAATTAGTGGAGAAGAGGAGTCGTTCACGCCTACGCTATGGGAGACGAGGCGAGTTCGGGTTCCAGTGTGAGTCTTGGAGACCCGTAGTTGAAGGCTCTTCTCGAGGCCCTTGCGAGTGGCCGATTGGTGGCGAAACCGACGATCGGACTCAGTGAAGCCCAGCGCTTCAATGGAAGCAACTACAACGTGTGGCGAAAGAAGTTCATTCGAAGGCAGAGAAGGTGGACCTCTTGCCGTACTACCGTCCCGACGAGGAGACGATGGAGGAAGTTCCGCCTTCCACGATGGATACGAAGGGGAAAATAGCGGCGTTCAAAAAGCAAAGTAAGCAAGTTTTCTTTCAGCTTTGTCATTCAGTTGCCGATGGAATCGCGGTGGATTTGGACCAGTTTGCAAGGGAGCTGAACTCTGCACAGAAAGCGTGGGAGTACCTGGAGTCCACATACATGGGCACCAACGATGTCAGCAAGAAGGCGATCAGGAAACAACTGCTGATGCTGAGCATGGAGAAAGGCGAGAAAGTCATCACCTACATCAACAGGGCGAAAAGCTACAACGACGATTTGCGGGTGATGGGAGCCGCGGAGATGGAGCACGAGATGATTGACTATATCATCCAAGGCCTTCCTAAGGAGTGGGAATCCGACATCGGTATGTTTACGTACCAACCGCCGGAAAGTTTGATGAAGCTGCAGGATATTCTGCAGTCGCTTGAGATGATGAAGGAGATGAGGAAGAAGAAAGCAGCAGCAGCAGTTACAGAATTCGACGAGGAGAGGCCGGGTATGGTGAATGCCACGAAGGCGTTTGGAGCATGCTACCAGTGTGGAAAGAGGGGGCATAAAGCGATAAACTGCTATGAAAATCCTCGAAGCAGAAACTACAAGGGCAAAGCTGTGGAGAATGATAAAGGAGAAAATGCAGGAGCGGAGTGGCAGCAGAAACGAGGTTTTGGCGGCAAGTGTGATTATTGTGGGCGTTACGGGCATCGTGCCGCAGAGTGCTACTCCAACCCGAAAAGCATGAGCTACAAGGGTCCGTCGCAGCAGAGGAATGTGGCAACAAAGGCGAATGTAGTGGAAGCGGAAAAGGAGGATGTGATTTTGGGAGGAGCGCATCTCGCGAACGTGGTGCGTTTACCGAAGGAGGCTCAGACAGATGGACGTGAGAAGAGGGCGTGGTTCATGGACAGCGGATGCACGCGTCACATGACATTCAGGTCAGATTGGATGGAGAATGTGAGGGAGTCGAGTGAGGATTATATACTACAAGGTAACAGTGGGAAGTTACCAGTGACAGGGGAGGGTGACGTGGTGCTGCAGAGTCCGTATGGAGAGATGAGACAGGAGAATGTGCTGCTGGTTGAGGATTTGAAGGTAAATCTGGTCAGTCAGTCACAGCTTGATGACTTGGGGAGCAAGATATTTTATGACAGAGGCGAGGTTACAGTGTTTGGTCCTGAGTGGGAGAAGTATGCGGATGGT